AATTCCAGTTGAGCAGTGCCGCTGCGCCACCGGCTACATTCTGGTGAATGGCAGTCGCTGCACACTGGAACTGCCCATCAAGCGACCATATCTGCTGTACGTACGGGGCAGTCCAGGCTGCTTAAAGATGGCTGCTCTTGATGCAAGGACACATTCCATCACCCGACCGACGATGAGCATCAGCACGTCAGCACAGACCCGTCCCAATGCGGTCGCTTTTGACCAAACCCGTGGCATAGTTTACTTTGCCGACATTCGCCGCTACGTCATCAGCTTCCTCAAAGTCGACCGAGCAACCATTGAGGCGGGCAACTCTGCGCTCTCCCCCAGTCTCTCAGCGCCCAGCTTCATCAAGCAGGGCGTCATCAGGGTGGAGTGCCTCGCACTTGACCTATACGGCGATAATTTGTATTTTGTAGACAGTGGCTTGATGACCGTTAGTGTGGCCAAGCTGAGTGACTCACAGATACGAAGGCAGCTTATAAGCAGTAATCTGGTGCACCCAAAGTCGCTTCTGCTTGACCTTAGTCGGGGAAAGATGTACTTTTCTGATTGGGCCTTCAGTCAGCGCAAGTCAGGCAAGATTGAACGCTCCAACATGGACGGCACCGGTCGAGAGGTGGTGATCGACGATGAGTTGCAGTACCCAAACGGTCTGACGATGGACAGCAGACAAGGTCATCTCTACTGGGTGGATGCTTACACAAAGAAGCTAGAACGATCAGATCTAGACGGAAAAAATCGAGTGGTAAGTGTACTTTTGTTTTTAAACTGAAATGTAAGTTATTGTTTTTTCAAATCTAGCTCATTCTTGAGGGCCGCGATCTGGGTNCAATCAAGTGGATTGACGACAACGGTATAGAGCTGAAGGAGGTGACCACCTTTATCAATGAAAGCTCACCGCTGATGGATCTGAAGATTGTCACACCGGAAAACGATCTGACGGCAGTGAACAGACTGAAGTGCACTCAACTGTCTTGTGCTCACCTCTGTCTTTTCACCTCTGCCGGTCCCATTTGCAGCTGTGCTGAAGGCTTTTCTCTGGAACAAAGCGACAAAAAGAGCTGTTCAGCAGTGCCCGACTACAGGCGACCTTCTCTTTGCAATAGCACCATGTTTGAGTGTCGACATACGCCTCAGTGTATTGATAAGCGACATGTCTGCGACGGTGACAAGGTAGGTGAAAACGTGATTAGTGACTCTGATATTGATAATATTCATTGATAACCGGATATCTGGTTAGGAATGCATCGATGGGAGTGACGAAGACAGCAGCAAAGGAGGTGTCTGTGGTAAGTGCAGAGAATACTTGTTGGATTTGTTGATTGAATTAACTGATTTTGCATTTTCTACTTTATTGCAGAAAACTTTGAGTGTCCTCGTGGCTTTTTTCGCTGCGATCGCATTCACTGCATTCCGCACCTTTTTCAGTGCAAGTGAGTTTTTTTCAGGAAGTGGGTCACATAGATTGTAAACAAGGTTTATTTTCAGCGGAATCGTGGACTGCGTTGACAAGCAAGATGAGGCAAATTGTGTCAATGCCACCTGCTCGCCGGGACACTTTAAATGCAATTCCGGCCCTTGTATTCCAAGTATGTCTTTGTTTTTGGCTTTAAAAATTTTATCATTTCACAAAATTTTGCTTTTAAAACAGAAACCTGGCTCTGCGATCACAAGCCA